TTTTTTTTAACTGAATGAGAAGAAATGTAAGGCCAAATATCCTCACAAACAACGCTTAAGTGAAATCAGTTTGCAACTAAGCAGTTCGAAAATTTTGCAACACGTCTGGAGAAAGACGTTCCTCGTGACGCTGTAATTCACTAGAGTAAAACGTCCGTTTATTATGTTTGTTTTTGCATAATAACTGCTATACATACCGTAGAAGCACCTTCCTTTTTGTCATCGCCGCTGACAACATGCGCCATTCTCTGCGGCTTCGGCCGCATGCTTGGCCACAAGTCACCGAAATCGGGATACATAGCCTTATTTATGAATCAGTAGTAGGTAAACGTTGCAGAAGTGTATGTATATTGTTCATTGTCAATGCTGCTTAAACAACATGCCTAACATTAAGTCAACACTCGCCTGCATTTTCGTCTTTTCCGCTTCGCGTTGCGAATGATGTCTAGGCCTACACAAAACGAAAGTAAAATGTGCGCATGTCTAAATGTAAGGGAGATCACTCGTGTTTTCCCGCAGTATATGTCTGAAATCATTCCGAAGGTGTTGTTGTTTTTGTGTATATTGAAATAAAAGAGTCCTGTTATATGGTAATACTTCAATAAACGAAAAACACAAATCACACCAACAGACATATAAAATGTAGGCCTATCGGAGCATATTTTCGTTTCTGGCTGAGCTGTAATTAGCGAGAAGGCGATATAAAAATGCAATAGCATATCTTATGATGAAAATAGAACAAAATGATAATACTGCGAAGGTAAAAAAAGCCTTCAGGTTAGAATACCAATATGGAACTAGAGAAGGACAGTGGCTAGTTCTAACATGATTCCCGGTCTCATCTGCCCCGGCCGGTTGATCCCATTTTAGTTAGGCAAGCCTGGTGTGAATCACACGGAGGCGATTTTAGAATTAATTGACAGGATCCGTATCCATTAATAGGTTTGTAATATGAACTTTTTATGTTGATCTCCTACATAATTGTAAGTTATACTCCGCCTTATATTTCGTTAAATTATCAAGTTTACGTAACAAGTGCAAGCGAAATCCTAATTGACTGCCATGTTGGAAACTTCCTCAATCTTTCCGATATAGGTCAGACGTCTAAATATGGGTGTCATGACCAAATATGGAAATTGTAGTAAACATGACCGCATCAGTAGTAATACTATATTTGGCCGTGAAGGCCATATAAGGAAACGGATAACATCACGCGTGATCTAACATGGCCGTCGTTTCTTTTTTTAGAGTTTTTAGTAAGGATTTGTTATTTTAACGATGAACGAATATGCAATATTTTGATAACATTATAATCATATGAAGCGTGAATCAGATATATTATTACTGATTAGCACTTTTGATTATCCTCAGTTAGTTGGAACAGGACCGCTTCATAGCTCTGACCACGCAATATATAATTGTAAACAGGGACGTAAATGTCACCAATTTTAGCCAATCACAGGACAATATTTCCGTGTAAAGGGTTAATCCAGCGACAGTTCCAAGAGTAAATACGAAGTTTTAGAAGGATACTTAGTTCTAACTAAGAATAAGATTATATCCAATGACGTTTGAGTGAACTTGAGTCCGTGGTAATGGATTTTATTTGCAGTTTGTTTAGTATTACTAGAAGGTGACGTTATGTCTCGTTTATGAATATCTGAGCTCATTAACTGAAGTATTTTTACCGGAAGTTGCGTGTAGCATGCATGACCTACATTCAAGTAGCAGTTCCCGATTGAGATAAACAGGGTGCATTTTCAATAAGAATACGACGTTGTGATAAGATCATATGTTCTATAAAGAAAAGTAATGATATTTACAAGCCATTCAAGTGCATTTGAGTCCAAAGTTACGCATAATAAAGACAGTAGGTCCGGTATATGATTCAATTTAGTACCAGTGACTACCGCTAGAGGCCGTCTGTGTGAAATCGACATTTATGAATATCTGAGCTCATTAACTAAAGTAATACCAATAGCTGGCGGCTAACGCCTTAGCTAAAAACTGTATACTCTTAAGACTAGCCAGTGTATCTGAAACAGTGACCAGGTTATAATAATTTTATACTCTTGAGACTATTCAGTGTATCAGAGACAGTGAACAGATAATAGCGTCATAATCTGAAGACTGACCAATGTATCATAGGTAGTGACCAGGGAATAATAGCACCATACCCCTACCACTGACAAGCGTATCTGTTATTGTGAATTATCGAACTAGAAGGTTTAACCTTTAATGACCGAGTACGGTGTGCCGAGGTGTAACATACTCTATTATTTTCAATATGATATGTATTACATTGCTTTTTCAGCTTCCGTCGCCTATCGGTCTGTCTGTACATTGGTATTTGATTCATTCATCTATCTTAATATTTATTTTTCAATCAACATATTTTAATATGTCAAATTGATATCCATGATATAATATAGAAACACACTCTCTAGTTTGTTATAAATAAAAACTTCAGTCAAAGGTGATAAAGCTATACGTTCAAAGTTGTTTTTTTCAAAAATCATTAATTAACATGAACAGAAAATATGGAAAACAGCTTCATTCTCCAAAAACGATGTATCTCAAGTGATAATAAGGCATACTTTTAAGATAGATGTAAGTTGATTGAATCGCACCGCGCCTACTTTCGATATGACTGTCTTAATGTCTTAATACCTAGTCTCACTGAGCATACATGCCTATTTCAACACCTAAACAAATTCGTTATAGTATATTGCAAAATAGTGTAAGCGGCAGTGATACATATTATAATTAATTACTACTTTAATATATATTAAATACTCAATTACTTTGTATCGTTATAAAGAAACTTTGTAACGGGGTAATACATCGTAAATGTACATCAAAATAATTATGTTTTACAATTCTAAATTATCATGACACCACAGAATGAGATACTGCCTGCATTTTATTCCAATCTTCAATTAATGACAATTAGAAGTTAAACTTCGTAACTATTGTTATATCAGTTATTATGTATAGGCAATCTGTAAAGCATTTTCTAAATATGTTTATTAATAACTTAAACTTATAAAAGTTTTTATTTTATTGTAATAGTTATGACTGCAGAATGTTGATCTCAACATTATTTGTAATATGGATTTTGTTTTTTGGGGGTTTTGTTTTAAAGTGTTAATTTAAATAACCTTAACATGGTTAACGCACTAATTTTTGTGTTTTTAGAAAATAGCAGAGGTGGACATTTCCTTCTTAATGCTGATTTCAAATTCCCCGTAAGTAATAGAAAAAATGAACATGTTTACTGGAGATGTGTTCAATGACAGTGTCCAGTTGTGGCTGAACGGAAGATATAAAGGTTACATTTTAAATCTCTTGTGAAGCACATATTTCCAGACTCTATCGCATTGCCCAAAAACTTCAAATGTAAATGATCAGAGATAAGTGTTATCCTTACATGTACAAACTTATCAAAATTCACAGTTCAAAGTTTAAATAATGTGAGTTCAACATCAGCAGTACTGTGATGATTAACCTGTCCAACTGTTTTCTCTAACATTGTAAAGTAAAATCTTCTTCTTCAGTATGACTTCTCAACTGTGTTGTACTTTGTTTTGTAAAGTTTGTGCTATTAATAATCATATATAAAAAAAATCAGTAAAAAGCAATATAAAGTTTCTTATTTGTATTATTTTGTACTTTATTTAATGAATTTAGTGGAATAATATAGGTTTTAATGCCGAAAAATACACTGGGGATATAACCTTTTTCATTTTGACCCAAATCCCCTTAATGAAGGTTAAACCCAGATATTAGCCTAAATGAATCCTGACATGTATGATAAAACATCAAGTGGAAAATGAATGCTAATATGTTGATGAAGTATATCATAAAAAGTGAAAAATTAATAGCAATGTCATGAATAAACAGAATTTCACAGCAAAATACACCTGTATATAGGAAAATACCAAATGCATGCTAGGTAAGACGGGCTTGTTCTCGATTCCCCCACTTTAAAAAAATACATGGGGACGTCTGTCTCTGGATAGTATTGGTAGTATTTACATGTATTTCATCTGCGGTGAACTGTTCCAATAAGGTTTTGTAGCGGGAAGCTGTTAATGTTTAAAACGATATCACATCAAATATTTCTTTAAAAATGAAAACATACATCTTTTTGTTGAATATTTATATGGAGTCATTAATGTTTGTGAAGAAATTATATATTAATGCTGTTATATAAACTGAAACTAAGATTCATTCATGTATGTTTAGAATGTTATTTATGGTAACATTATGATATTGATATCCAGCAGATATAATGACACCGTGGAGGAAGTAAGCGAAACAAACCCGATATATAACGTGACCGCCTGGCTCTGACTGCATGTTACGTATTCAGGCGTGTGTGACCGTAACCAGTTGGACCATCCTGAGCGTCAGACATTGTTTGGTGAGTTTTTGATCAACAAAATAAATAATTTTTGTGTATTATTTTATCTTGTTAAAACAGTGGCACTCAACGTGCATTATACCTAACCACTAGTAAACTTTTGGTCGGCCTCAATGTTATTACATTTATCCATTGTGATATTCGTTCCATAATTATAGAAAAAATATCCGTAAAATTTTGAATACGTACAATTATTTTTATTGGTAAATAACTTAGATAACATTGTAGGTGGCTTTGCATACTAGACCATTTAATGCTATAATCCAATGACATATGTTATGTCTTCAGCAGAGAATAATTACTAGTCTATAGAATCATGAGTATAGTACCCTGTCTGTTTGAGGTTCATGTCGTTGAGTTTCCATCCATGTGTGTAGCTGCTGTAGTAATCTAGTTTACCTTTACATTACATATACCTATTCAACTTTTTGTGTTGCATTTGTTCAGAAATAAGGACAAATACCTATTAAATTGAAATTGTTGACATGGCCGAAGCATAAAATATCAACACAACAGTGATACAGTAGCTGTACATTAGTTATATATAAGTAACACAATAGATACACATTAGTGACACAGCAGTAATACAGTAGTTACACAGAAGTTCTATATAAGTTACACAATAGATACATATTAGTGACACAGCAGTGATACAGTAGTTACACATAAGTTATATATAGGTGACACAATAGATACATATTAGTGACACAGCAGTGATACAGTAGTTGCACATAAGTTATATATAAGTTACACAAAAGATACATTTTAGTGACACAGCAGTGATACAGTAGTTACACATAAGTTATATATAGGTGACACAATAGATACATATTAGTGACACAGCAGTGATACATTATTTAATCATAAGTTATATATAAGTTACACAATAGATACATTTTAGTGACACAGCAGTAATACAGTAGTTACACATAAGTTATATATAAGTAACACAGTAAATACACATTACTGACACAGCAGTGATACAGTAGTTACACATAAGTTATATATAAGTTACACAAAAGATACATTTTAGTGACACAGCAGTGGTACAGTAGTTACACATAAGTTATATATAAGTTACACAAAAGATACATTTTAGTGACACAGCAGTGGTACAGTAGTTACACATAAGTTGTATATAAGCTACACAATAGATACGCATATGTGACACAGCGGTGATACATTAGTTACACATAAGTTATATATAAGTTACACTATAGGTACGCATACCTGAA